CTGTAGCTGGCCGGGGAGTCTCTCGGCGAGACGGCGCTGCAGTGGGCGGAGCGGACGCACTGAACCCGGCTCAGCTCTGCGCCGAGCTGGTGCCGCACCTACCAGGCGGGATTGCATCGGAGTAGTGATGCGGAGCGGCGAGGCGAGTCCACTGCCCCGTCTCTGTGTGGTCACGGCGCGCCCGGAAAAAGTAGTAGAAGAAGCCCTGGTCGATGCCCACGCCGACCATGACACCCCAGTCGTCCTGCTTGAGGAACGGCAGGATGCCCACGCGCTCGGTGCGCCTAGCGGGCGCGGACAGAAGGGCGTCCGGGACGCGCGAGGTGTCTGGGAACGGCGCTGACTCCGCGCGATTTCCAGGCGTCGTCGGTGGCGGGCACGACGTCGCGAGGGAGACCAGCCAGATCCCAGCCGTGCGTATGGTTCCAGCCCACGTCGGCGGTGCGTTGCAAGAGCGCGATGCCATCTTCAAAAAGCGCGAGGGAGGGCTTCACCTAGATAATGTTGCTCGTTGGGGCGAGCCATGCGGACGGGATCTGTGCGCGGTGAGGGGAGAGGGCTTAGAGGGGCGCTCACCAGCAACAATCCCCCGTTGACCGGCGCTGACCCGTCTGTTCTGCTGAAGAGCACCTCTTTGCGGCGCCGGAGACAGCCGAGTGCAGCCGTCCACTCCGCCGCGCCGCGCGCCGCCCTCTCCAACAAGCTTCCGGGGGACGTGGCGGGCAGCACCTCCGTGTCAATGTCGAAGAAGGCCACGAACTGTGAGAGGCGAGGGCGGCGCCCTTTGAACTCGGGCCCTTTGGTCTCCGTGTGTCATAGTACGGTGTCCAGTGTCCTCGGAGAGGCGCCTCGGCGCCCGTCAGCGCCATGATCTGCCACTTGAGCAGCGTGGTCCAGTACCATGCTTGCCCAAACTTCAGCCCGCCTCCCTCCTCCGGCTGCAATCGCGCCGCGGCCAGCGCCTTCACCTGCCGTAGCGGCCGACGTGCGCTTTCGTAGCGTTCTCTCGGGCTCTCTCCACCCCCTTCTCTGCGGCAGGTGACTCACCGCTTGGACCAGTGCCGGGCGGTAGGTGTTGTGCACGACCACCGCGACGCCCTCGGAGGAGAGATGCGCCCCATCGCTCTCCTCGAGGCAGCGCGTGAAGAGGCGGATGTCCACCGGTCGCCTGGCAGTCTTGCTGATGGCGGAGGCGAGCGGAACGGCCTGCGCGCTCCACAGAAGGAGCGCGGCGCGATTCGGTGGGCAGATGGAAGCGTGCTGGCCAAACGGATGCGGCTCGTGAAGCGTCGCGAGGGAGAGGAGGCGAGCACGCGGCTCGGCCATTTTGGGCGGTAGGTAGGTAGGTAGGTAGGTAGAAAGGTGAAGAACAGCCAGGCTCGGACTGGACGATGGCGGCTAAGAGTCCATCCTCGCAAACATTTCGTGTTGCTGCGTCAACACTATCTGCGGCCAAACGTCGCGAGACCTCGCAGCGAGCAGCTTTTTCAGTGTATGTGGCTCTTACGAACATATGAGGGTGAAGAAGCGCAAGCGCTTGGAGCAAGGGAACTGCCACGTATGGGTCCCAGACTAGCACCCCACCTCGCGAGCCGACGTTCTGGCTCAGCGAGGTTGCTGCGGAGCACTCGCGGACCGGTTCTTTTTACGAAAGAAAGAGAAATCAACGCAAGGCCGACAATGTACCTACGAAATTAGCTTTCAAAGCGAAAACAGCGTGTTTTTTCCTTGAGGACCCATATCGCCGAACTCGCTTCGAGCCCCCGCATCCCCTGGAGCCACATCCCCTGCTGTCGTGGCTTTCGTCAAAAGTCTCCACGGCCTCTGTGCGTATCGCCATGCCGTCGCCGGACGCGCCTCCGCGGCCATTCAGCCGCGCCCAGACAGCCTTCATGACGCGCTCTGTCTCTCAGTCCGACAGAGCGCCGGGACGGGCTCGGGCGCGCTCGGAGGGCATGCCTCCAGCGATGGCGTCCGCGCTGCCGCTGGTGCGGCGGCGGGAGGCGCACGCCGCCTTTGCGCTGTCCACGGACTTCGACTACACCGCGTGCACGTGCGACGCGTATCGCGATGCGTCCGCTGGTGCGTGCCAGCGAGGCAAGTACGCGAAGATCCGCGAGTCGCTCGACCACGCGTACCACGGCGTGTACACGGCGGAGCGGCAGGCGCTGCAGGACCGGCTGGTCGACGCGGCGCTCGAGGGCAGCGAGCCGCAGGCGCAGCCTAGAGACACCTCCATGCCACTCCCCGGACACTTCCTAGACACTGCCTGCCTGGACAGTTCCTAGACACCGCCTGCCTCCTCCCGAGGCACTGCCCACCACTGCCTAGGCAGCCGTCCCTAGGCACCGCCTATAGACGCGTCCAGGACACGGCCCGCACTCCCGCAGGCGCACCCTTGGCTGCTGTACACCGCGGGCGCGATGGGCGCGGGCAAGAGCCACACTGTGCGCTGGATGTGGGAGGCGGGGCACTTCCCGCTGGAGGCGATCGTCCACCTCGACCCAGACCTCTTCAAGACGGCGATGCCCGAGTGGGACGGCTACGTCGCGCTCGACCCGATGAGCGCCGGCCAGCGGACGCAGCGCGAGAGCGGCTACCTCGTCGAGATCGCGCAGGCTGCCGCCATGGCGGAGAGGAGGCGTGTGTCTGCGGGTGGTCGGCGCGAGGACACGTCCATGGGCGCGTCCGCGACACGTCCAGGGCACGTCCGTAGGCACATCTGGGTCGACGGCTCGCTGCGCGACCTCAACTGGTACCGAGCTGTGTTCGGAAGCATCCGGCGCTCTCACGCCGCCGGCGTATACCGCGTCTCCGGAACCGCGAACCTTCTCCGAACCTCCCGTCCGATCTCCTAGGCGCGACCACCCGGCGTACCGCCTCGCAATCCTGCACGTCACGGCGAGCGAGGAGCAGATCTTTGCGCGCGTGAGGCGAGAGCTAGCAGAGAGCTATGCCGAGAGCTATGCCGAGACCTAGCCGCGACCTGGCCGGCCGAGACCTGGCCGAGACCTAGCCGAGCTCTAGCAGAGACCTAGCAGAGATCTAGCAGAGACCTAGCAGAGACCTAGCCGAGACCTAGCCGAGGTGTAGGAGGAGGCGCCTCCCTTTGCTCACAGGCGGCGAGGGGAGGAGACGGGGCGGTACGTCGGTGAGGCAGAGGTGCGCGACTCCCTCGAGCGCGTGCCGAGGTCGACGCGTGCGCTCGTGCCTCTGGTCGACTTTTCGGCGGTGGTGGAGGCGCCGCCCTCCCCGCCGGGATTGAGACGAGATGGCGCCGAGAGTTGAGCCGAGAGTTGAGCCGAGGTTGAACCAGGGCTGCGCCGAGACCGCGCATCCTCTCCAAGGCTGAGCCGAGGCTTGGCTCCCCCAGGCATCGGATGATTCGCCGCGCATCCTCTCCTACTGCGACTCCGACCGCTGCCACGTTGGCAGCGAGGCGTGCTACGACAGCGGGTGGAGCGACAGCGCCTGGCACCAGATCTCGTGCCGATTCGAGTCGGTGCCGGCGCCCGCGAGCCAGTCCTCGCCGCTGCCGCGCCGCAGCGTGATGGGGAGCGAACCCTGAACTCTCTGGACCTCTGAGCTCCGTGCAGCTCCGTGTTCTGCCGTCGCACACTCTCCGGTGTGTCCAAGCGCTACCTAGGCCTTCAGTCAGCTTGTGTGTGTTCAGCGACCATCTCTCAGATTGTTCTCGGCGACTGCGGGCGTTGTCGCGTTTCGTTGTGCGCCTGTGCCGTGAAGTATTCAGCAGTTTCGTGTCCGTGACGCGGCGAGGACCGACGCCTATGAGGTACGGGTATGTTGCGGGGGAAGCAAAGGGGAGCTAAGATTGTAAGAAGCGCCCCAGCCTTAGCCACAGGACCCCGCAGACGTGAGACGATTGGGATCGGTTTGCGGGCTCAAGAGATGGTGTGACAGTCGGGCGGCGTGGACTGGTGGTGCCGCGCCCCAGGCCTCAGGCCGACCTGACCCTCTGCTGGCGGCCCTGTGCCCTGTGGCACCAGCGCTCTCTCTCTCTCTCTCCCTCTCTCTCTCTCTCTCTCTCTCTCTCTCTCTCTCTCTCTCTCTCTCTCTCTCTCTCTCTAGCTCGTTCTCCCCCCCCCCCCCCCCC